CACTAGCACAGAAATAATCAAGTAGATCAATGAAATATAATGAGCATTCTAGAAACAAATATATACATCTGGATAACAATATAATATATGATTAAATTGATATTTGAAATCAATGGGGAAAATAAGGCTTATTCAACAAATAAAATGCATGCACACTATTACGTAAAATAAAACCAAGATAGAGCCCTATTTCACACATTATACAGAAAATATTCAGGTGAGTTAAAAATCAATATGTAAAATCTAAAGAGTTTTAGGAGAAAATACAAAATAATATTTTTCTTACCCTGAAGTAAAATATTCAAACCCAAAAGCTATGAAGTAAAATACTGACAATAGGACTGTATTAAACATTTAAGACTACATAGTAATAATATACATATAAAAAAGTTAAAGGACAAGTAATAGGAAAGTATTTCCAACACATATAAAAAAGGGTTAATAGATTTTTTTTAGGGAAAAAAATTCTACAAACATTTAGTCAAAAAAATGAATAAAGAATACCAAAAAGTCACTTAAAGATTTTTAAAAACAATAGAAATAGGCAATAAATATATAAAAACAGGTTTAATTTCAACAATTGCTAATATAACAATTAAAATAACATGTCATTGTCACAGTAAGATTAATAAGTATTAAAAATATTGGTAATATCAAGTATTGGTGAATGTGAAAGGAACTGGGCATTCATAGACTCTTTTTCTTCATCTTCTTAAAGCAGTCCCTTTAGCATATGTTGCAATGCTGGTTTGGTGGAGGTGTATTCTTTTAGCCTTCTTTTGTCTGGGAAGCTCCTTATTTTGCCTTCCATTTAAATTGAGAGCCTTGCTGGGTAGAGCAGTGTTGGTTACAGGCCTTTGCTTTTCATGACTTGGAATATTTCTTGGCACTCCCTTCTGGCTTCCAGTATTTCTGTTGAGAAGGCAGCTGCTAGCCGTATCATGGCTCCCTTATATGTTACTACCTTTTTCTCCCTTGCTGTCTTTAGGATTCTCTGTTTGTCTTTGATATTTGCTATTTTAATGACGATGTTTTTTGGAGTGGGCCTCATTGGGGTTCCTCTTGAATGGGACCCCTTTGTGCTTCCTGGATTCGTGTGACTTTTTCTCTTCTTCAATGAAGGAAGTTTTCCATCATTACTTTTTCAAACAGGTTCTCTATCTCTTGCTCCTCTTCTCCTTCTGGTATCTCTGTTATATGGATATTATTACATTTCAGGTTGTCCTGCATTTCCCTCAATATCTCTTTGAGTCTGTTTTCATTTTCTTGCTCTTTGTGGGAGCTTTTTTCTACCTGATCCTCCAGCTCGCTGGTTTGATCATGTGCTTCATCTAGCCTGCTTTTGATTCCTTCTACTGTGTTCTTCAATTCAGGAATTGTATTCTTCATTTCCTCTTGTCTCTTATTGATAGTTTCTATGCCCTTTTTCATGCTGATATAGTTTGCAGTAAGTTCCTCCTAGTTTCCCTGCAGTTTTTTGTTATTCTCTCTGAGCTCACAGAGCTCATTGAGCTTCCTTAGAACTGTTGTTTTGAACTCAGTATCTGATAGTTTATTTGCCTCTATTTCTTTAGTTCTCTTTCTGGGGATTCCTCCTTTCCCTTTGACTGGGGCATGTTTCTTTGTCTTCCCATTATGTGTGAGACTCTTCTTTTTTGCCTCTGCTTCTTAATCTGATCTGTGTTGACTTCCTCTGTGGTGTGAACTTCTATACTAGAAGACCGCAGTTTTTTCTTTCTGGATCCTCCTCTGATGATGTCAAATGTTGACACTGTCTGACCTCAGGCAGTCTGTTCGAGACTTCCAGGAATCTAGTGTCTGTGGCTGTCTCCTTCAGTTGTTAATCTAGTCACTCTGCACTCAGCAGTCAGGCTTAGGCACCACAGGGTGGGGCAGAGTCCCTCCTGGGGGCAGGGTTATTGGGTCCTCTCACTCTACTGCCTCTCAGGGGAGTGATCTGCCTGAGGAAGATGGCTGCTGCCACATGGGGGATGAGTCAGCACCAGGATCCTGCCGGCTACTCTCTCAGTTCTCCCTCCAAAGCCTCCTTCCCCAGTCTCTCTTCAGGTGCCTCCAGCCCACTCTGCCCCTGCCTACCCAGAGACCAGGGTAAGTGGCTGCAAGTAAAAATTTATGCATTGGCCCTTTAAAAGGCTGTTGGTGTCTCCGGCCACGTGTCTCTGGCAGAGAGCAACCCTGCTGCTCTCACAGCTTGTTGTTATCCGTGTACTTTTTGGGCTCTGGTGCTGTAGGCTGCACATCCCCGCTTATGGTTTAGACCCTGTTCTTCTCAGGGGTATCCAACTGGCTGTTTCAATATCCTTCTGGTATTGCTACCTGTTGGCGCCCTACCCACCTTCTCGAGTCTCTACCTCACTCCTTACCAGTTAGGTTGTGCTAAAGCTGATTCTTCTGTCTGTCTGAGGTTATAAGGCTCCTCTCTTGCTATTGTTCAGTTGTTTGTTCCAGGTGATTTCTCCACAATTTAGTTGTAATTCCAGATTGGTCCTGGGAGGAGGTCAATGTGACTTCCACTCATTCTTCCGGCATCTTGATTTCAAGAATAATAGATTTTTATAATAATGACATTTAATAAATAAAATATCCTGGATTTAAAAACTTCAGCTATATACTAACCCAGGCAGGAGATTATGGTTTATTTTAGAGAGTTTTTCAATTAGTAGGGTTAAAACAAAGATGGCTTCCTGGTTAACCATCAGCTAACTAGAAGCATTGAGGTTAGTCAAGGTATCATAATAGTTTACTGTCTTTTCTCATGAGAGTAAAGCTTAAGGGAACACCAAAAGCCTGTTTGAAGATGTAACAGTGTAAAAGCATCTTGGATTCTTTCAAAAGTCAACTTCAGAGATGCCTGTTGGGGGGTTGATTTAGCTGAGAATAAGGAACACTTCCATGAGGAGAAGAACACTCCTTATGCAGAATTCCCTTCTACCTGACATGGTTGGAGTCTTATCCTGTGCAGCGCAAGTCTGTCCCACGAAGAAGAAGATGAAGGCTTGGAGATACTGTCCACAATTTTTATTTCTCTATGCCCGGAGTCCCTTCACTAGCACAGATAATCAAGAAATGCCTATGTATGTTACTATTAAATTAAGTGAAAAGTGTATATGTATTGTAGGACATCTATTTAAACTCTTCTGTTATTGGAAAACTAAAGTAACAGTGTAGGCTGATATAGCCTTGAATTTTGTACTTTAAAATCAATTTAGGCTATATTCTCTGATTTTAACATCTGTGATATTGGGTTGCATCTAGTAATTGATGGTAGTAGTCATTATACAGTTGGTATTGCCTATACATTTGTGAATTTGGCCATGATTTCCTAAATGAGTCTGAAAGAGCTCTTTCTTAACATAAAATAAAAGTTCTAAATTTTATGAAGCACTGTATAACATGGATTAATTGGCAACCTTTTTTTCTTTCTTACTGGTACATAAAATAATGATATATCTTTTAATTGATGGCCAATTACATTCAGTGAAATATAGTATATTTTGTAAACAGGCACCAAAACTACTTACTGGTCCTCAATTCTTGTTACTATCCCTTTAACTGGGAGGTAAGAGGCAGTTAATTGATCTGAACTTAATATTCATGGAAATGATTGAATTTTTAAAAAAGATTTTATTTATTTTTAGAGAGGAAGAAAGAGAGGGGCAGAAACAGCAATGTGTGGTTGCATATCACGCGCCCCCTGCTGGGGCCTGGCCTGCAACCCAGGCATATACCCTGCACTCAGAATCAAACCAGCAACTCTTTGGTTCCCAGGCCAGTGCTCAGTCCATTGAGTCACACCAGCCAGGGTAGAAATGAATGAATTTTATTGCAAAACTGGAACGATGAAGCACTGAGGTCTTTAATCATTTTTAATGTATGAAAAACAAAAAAAGATGAAGGACTGAGTGTTGTGCTTCTATTTGAGCTTTTCTGGAAACTTTGCAAGACTGACAGGTATTCAGCTGTATCATACATTTGTCCCAAGTGCAGCATCAACAGTTGTTGCGGTTGCCAAGTATTTCCAATGTACACACAGAATGGCTGCCATTGTTGCAGGCCTAGGTTCTGTGACAACAGATCTGGGTAGGGCTGAAGCACTGGGAGAATGAGACTGAAGTGGTAGGAGGTAGTAAGATTTATATATTTATGCAATCAATACTCCAGTAAGAGTTTTAGCTTCAAATTGGGCTTATGGACCAAAGCAGGATATGGGACAATTTTAGAGATATATTGGACTGAAAGCTTGTTAAAGGGCTAAAACCTATAAGAAAATAATCAAGAAATTAAATCATAGAGCCTAGAGGAGGGAGAACAGTTGTGGTTGGGGAAACCCATTGGTTCAGATCTGTATGGTCCATAGTCAAAGATGGGTATGCATTTTCTTCATTTTCATTAAGAGCTTCATGAAGCATGATGGATCATTTAGATGCAAAGATGATTTTAAAAGCTGTGGAGTTTTGTTTTTTTATTTTTGTTTTTGTCTCATGGTTTCATGTATTAAGCAATTTCGGGGTACCTTATATTAAGGGACAACAATTTGAACTGAAAATCCAGCAAATTCCTTAACATCCATGAACTATAGTTTGCTTATTGGGATAAAAATCAGTGTAAAAATGCATACCTTGAGAGTTGTTACGAAGAGAAATGATGTATGTGGACTGACTACTGCATTTTGCCATGTATAATGTACACCCATGTTTTTGTGCATATTATGCACAAGATTATTATACCCATGGTATGTAATCATTTTACCCATGTACAATGTGCATCCTTACTTAAGAAAGTGCATGTTATACATGGCAAAATACGGGTAATTCAGTGCCTTCTACATAACACATACTCAATGACTTGGAATTTTGTTATCGGTTGACTGGCATACTCATACTCATTATCAACTAGTATTGATATTAGTTACCTTCAAATCCAATATTTAAAGAAAACTTCTGAGGAAATGCACTCATTAATTTTGTTTTTTTCTTAAGGCTGTGGGCCATCTTATTGCTGCAGTCCTGAAGGAAAATGGTTTTTCAGAAAAGATCCATCAGTCCACAAACCAGGTCTGTATTTAACTTTGTGCTTTAGTTTGGTTCAGATATTCCTACCACGTGGATCGTATATGCATGTCTGTTGTTTTCTTCACAGCTCAGGTCACTGTAGAAATGATTTGAAACTGTGAGAAGTTTTATTGCCTTTTTTTTTTTTTTGCTATGATTTTCTTCCAAATAATTAAAAAATTTTAAATTTGTGACAACAGACTCCAGGAATAAGATATGGAGGGGGTAAAAGGAATATTTTTATGATGATTAATAAAAAATAACATGGGTGGAATGAGAGTAGGCATGCTTTAGAGAATGTCGACAAGGCTGCCTCTAAGGGAGTATTTTTGTTTAATAGAGAAAGTGAACATAGTGGCTGTCTTTGGGTGTAGGAGATTTTTCATGCTGTAGTTGGCCCCATATGTGTATTGACAGTTGGAATTGGAGGAAAAATTCTGTACCATGCATAAGGCTGGTGAATGCTAAGTGTTGAGCAATGCTGCTTACTGAATATACAAATCACTTGAGTTTTGGTTGACCAGTGTTGTATATTTTGATATGTTGATTGGAAATTCTACTTAAGTAGGTGTTCTAAGGTAAACTCTGAAGAGAACATAGAAATGAGATGTTTTTTCACAGCAGAAACAAATTTATTTCCTTTCTCTTGCATTCCTTTTGATTAGCTGCTCCGAGTTACATTTCTTTACCGTTTCTGCTGACATGCTGAAGGAAGTGTAGGGGTATACTTCACTAACTGGCATTTATCTGCTGTTTCTTCGTAGTCACCTAAATGAACTTTTCAGAGAACCCTAATCTTAATCCTGACAAGGTCTGGTGGTTTTACGTAAACTGCCAGGATTTATTGACAATGTCAGTCCCTATAACCAAGTATTTCCTCTTGCATTAATAAATGAATGCTTACTTCCATGAGAACACAGCGTTCTCTGAAGGGACATTTATTTATTTATTTATTTATTTATTTATTATTTAGTTAGTTAGTTAGTTTTTCTGGCTTAGAAAAGGAGTAATGACATTTAGAACCCTTTGATATTACCCATACAGGTGAATAAATTTCCTTCTGAATAAAAGAAATAGAATATAAATATTACTTTCCTGCAGTGACTTTGAGGATATTGTTCTGTTATAGCAGGATCCTACAATTGAAAAGGCTTCCAGAGCCAGTTAGAGTAAGAAAATGGACACAATATGATGTTGGTTTTCATTCTTTTAGTTATTCTTTGGGAGCTGGGGATTTTAATTTTTTTCTCCAAGTTATATATTTCCTCAATAAACTATTAGGGGAAGAAAGGAAAGAAAAAATAGTTTCATTATGTGTGTGTATTTTTTTAAAGGCTACAAACCAGGAATGACCCCCAGACTGTGTGTAAATCTAAATGGACTTAATCCACAATACATTTAAATATAGATTTATCATTAATAGTGAACCTTTTATTTGGGTGCTGGGATCATGGGTGTCTGAGAAAGTTATGAAAGTTATGAAAGTTAAAACCTGTGATTTTATAGGATTTTTTAAAATAAAGAATTTATATTTACTTACATAACTTTCCAGTGTTTTTTTATGAAAGATAACAGATTCATAGTGTGAGGGTAGAAAAAGTCAGTCTCTTTCATGAGCAAAACAGTTTTTCTAGGCTTTTTTTGGTAGTCATGGGACAAGCAGCTTGCAGGTAGCCAGTGCTGCTTCTCTCCTCTCTGGCCCATTTGGGCAGGGACGTTTTGTGTATGTGGTTGGGGGCGGGGGATGTATGTGGGTAATAAAGGTTTTTAGTAGTACAGCAGAAACATTTTCTGAACATGGTATTGTTGTTCAGGGCTTTGAAGCATAAGCACGATTTGGAATTCAGCTTAGACTAACTGATCTGCTGGTAGTGTCGGTGTCTGATTAAAGGACCTGGTTTAGCTCTGTGCCGGAGCTAAGCCTTAGTTCTATTAGTTCTGTTGTGTTGCTTGAACTCTGTTCACACCTGTTGGCAGCCAGGCTTAATTTGAGCAAATATACCAGATGAGAGAGAGTTTCCATATCAGAACACACCCGTTACCTCTCTAGGAAAACTGATTTAGTTTATTCTGTAAATGCTGTGACAACAATATCATCTTTGCATAGGAGAGCTAGCCTACTGTGAATGAATTACACTTAGATGCATGGCTGGAGGTGTGTATGCGTTTGCTGCTCATCAGAAGTGTCCTTTAACCACTGGTTTGATTTCAGACTCCTGCTTTGAACTTGCTGTGGGAGAAGTGTTGCAGTGATAATGTAGTGGTTCGAACAGCCTGCTGTGAGGGGCTGGTGGCACTTGTTGCTCAGGATCATGCGGAGTTCAGCTATGTCCTCAATGGGATACTCAACCTGATTCCATCGACCAGGTACTCTTCCTGTTTGATCAGTTAACAATTTTAATTTTTAGAAAAAAAATTACTAATTTTCAATAAGGGTCAACATTTACCCTACTTGCCAGTTGTTTTCTTTCTCCTAAAGTGCCATGTGGTTGATATTTCATATGCTATGATAACATGCTTATTTAAACTCCGTAGTTTTGTAATTTGCGGGCATTTGCTCTACTCAAGTTTTGGGGCTCTGCTTAAATTTGTCATTGTTCTTTTTTGTGAAGAAAATAGCTAAGTAGTTTAGGATTCACAATTGTTGTGCAAATTCCTGACTTACTTTAAGAAAGAAGGTCCCATATAAGCAATACTTCCACAATGGTAAAGTTTTATACACCATTGAAAATATTATGGCATTAGTACATGTATTAGAAAATAACAGCACTAACCTCTTTAAAAAGTATTTTGTGATTTAGATATGTCTTTCCCTGATTATTATATAAGTAAATAATGTACAACTTTTTAAATTTGTTTGGTCTGATCATATTTATTCCATGCACAGACTGAGGTAAGTAGAATCACAAGGGATAAAATGGGCATATACCATTCTGAGATGGTTAAACAGGACCATACTTGAATCATCCCACGGGAGTAAGCTTCTCTTGTAAAATACTCCCTGAAAAAGAGATGTTACTCTTTGCTTCAGGAAATGGTCTTTATCTGTACCCTCTCAATTTAACCTTCTTTAAGTCATTTGAGCTTCTGCCCCCTTCTCCCAAATCTTACCAGTGTTTTTTACTCATTTTTATTGTAGGATCATCGGAATTGAATACTTAATCTTTTTTTTCCACTTTCATTGTGGGTGTGGTTGGGGGAAGCGAATCACAGTCTCCTTCTTGGGGAAAACAGTTTTTCCATCAGTCTGTGGAAGATGCCTTCCTGGGCTTGAAGTGTATTAGGTTAAATAACCTCTGGCCTTTAAAATATCTTTTTTTTACAATATTTTGTTCCCTTAAACATCTCTTTGTATCCTTTTGGAACTTTGGTTTTTCTTTATGTTCTGCTGTCTATAGTTGTAAGTCCAAACCTTTTAGGTGTGGTACGTGTGCTTCCCAAACTACCAACAGCCTTCTGTTTAACCTGCGTTTCCTGCCATGAACCCTCCCCTCTAGCTATACACAACCATCCCCTATTTCTGCACCTTTGCATATGCTCAGCCTCTGCATGGAACGTTCTTTCTCCTTCTCTTTCTGACTTCCTCTTCATCCTCCCAAGCTCAACTCAGATGTCGCCTCTCTTGCCTAGACAATTCCCTCTTCTCAGCTAGGCAGCTTGCTCTTTCACAATATCCTTTTAAACCTGTATTTTCATATCTATCACACTTTTTGACAGAAGATGACCAGATATTTCCGTGAAAGTAAGGATTTGAAAATGGCTAAAAACTCATTTATTTTCTGTTCTCTGTGTGTGTGCTGACATGTGTGTGCACACACACGCAAATGCTTTTCGAAGTGTACTGTTGTCTACCCACTTAAAAAAGTGGGTTTGAGGAGGCTTTTAAAAAGTTAAGTTTTAATGTGTCTCTCATTGGTTGACCTTAAACAAGCCACTTAGATTTTGTCTTACCCTTTTTTTCAAATGCAGGTAATGGTATTTGTTCCCCCCTAAATGTTTTCAAATGCCTTAAAATTCACAAATAGAAAATCCACTTACGTACATTGTATTGTTGTACTATTTATATTTAAAAGCAAAAGGATCAGCAGCTAAGGGGGCTATGGTAATATTTCTCTCTATGTGAAGGATAATTAGGGCAGGTTAGATTATACCTTTAATTATAGAAGATCATGAAAGAAAATTATGCTGGTATGAGATATATTTCACACATATATTTCATCAGTATAAGTTCATTATCACTATTGTAAACATCACTATTGTAAACTGAAAAGCATAAACTCTACTGATAGTGAATCAGCATACCATTTATATGTATTATATTTTTTCAGTATCCTTAGATTCTTTAAAATTTAAAAATGTAGTTTTTGAATAGACAATACATGGTAAAAAATTCAAAAGGGTGTATGAGGCAAAGTCTCTGTTTTACTCCTGTATCTCAGTTTTTTTCCTGAGAGGCAAAACTCTTACCAGGTCTTATCCTTTTAAAGGTGTAAAATGTACATGCAACTGAAAACTTATGCGTATATACTTTTATTATTTTTTTAAAGATTTTATTTATTTTTAGAGAGAGGAAAAGGTAGGAGAAAGAGAGAGAAACATCAATTGGTTCCCCCTTGCATGCCCCCAGCTGGGGACTGGGCCTGCAATCCAGGCATGTGCCCCGACCGGGAATCAAACTGGCCGCCTTTTGCTTTGTGGGGTAACATCCAACCAACTGAGCCATGTTGGCCAGGTCTATGTGTAAATATTTTTCTTTAATAAAACCCCCCACAGAATTAGTAGTCCTCTAATCACATTATTCTTTATTTTGCATTTTTCATTAAAAAATATATCTTGGAGATCCTTTCTTCACATACATAAAGTGCTTTCTAATATTTCTATCTACATTATATTCCATTGTATGAATGTGCCATAATTTATCATTTTCCTATTGTTTTCAATTATTTGCAATTATAAGCAGTGCTTCAATGAATAATATAATCACACACATCTGGTGACCATTAGTTTTCAGAGGTCTTTGGAAATATGGCCAAGATACAGAAAAAGACCTTAAGTTTTATACTATGGAAATATAGGAATTTTAACAATTGAAGTATCCTGGAGAAAATTTCTTTTCCAAAAATTTTCTTATCTGAGAATGTTCATGTTTTCTAAATTGTTAGCCCCAGGGAGATGGTGACAGAATAGACCCCGAAGCTAACCAATTTAATTTTCAAATCAATTTGACTATGTAATATCCTTGCTATTTGTTCCTTGACTTTCCCCTTCTATTCCTTTTCCCCCGCCCACCCCTCCATCCTTCTCTCTTGTCTCTGTTGGTTTCTTTTCCTTTCAGTGTTGCTGGTCTTATTTTCCTTGCATCTTTGTTTTATTGGTTAGGTTCCGCTTATGGGTGAGATCCTATGATATTTGTCTTTTGCACCCTGGCTTATTTCACTTAGCATAATGCTCTCTAGTTCCATCCATGATGTTGCAAAGTGTAGTACCTTTTTTCTTTCTGCTGTATAGTATTCCATTGTATGAATGTACCATCATTTTTTGATCCAATCATCTACTGATGGAGATTGAGGTTGCTTCCAACACTTGGCTATTGTAAATTGTGCTGCTATGAACATTGGGGTGCATAGGTTCTTTTGTATTGGCATTTTGGTATTCTTAGGGTATAGTCCCAGCAGGGGAATGACTGGATCAAAAGGCAGTTCCATTTTCAGCTTTTGGAGGAAATTCCACACTGCTTTCCACAATGGCTGCACCAGTCTGCATTCCCACCAACAGTGTAGTAGGGTTCCCTTTTCTCCACAGCCTCGCCAGCACCTGTTGTTTGTGGATCTGTTTATGATGGCCATTCTGACCAGTGTGAGGTGGTACCTCATGGTGGTTTTGATCTGCATTTTTCTGATGGCTAGCGATGCTGAGCATCCTTTCAAATGTCTCTGTAATGTAATATGTTATGTAAGTGCTAAAGTTTCTTTATTGTCAGCAGTAGAAGTACTAATTATATGTGAATTTTTTGGGGGGGGGCTGGGTACAGTGAACTTTATTGGTAGTGCATGACAAGGCAGGGCTCCCTAAGCCCCTCCCCTCTTCAGGGGGTCTAGGATGGAAACTGGAGGGCAGGAGATTCTCAGTGTTTTGAGGGATAGATTTGGGGCAAGGACTCCCTAGCAGCTGAGGGTCCCTCTCCTGTCACTAGGGCTGGTGGTCCAGAGGGCTCTTACTCCTTGGAGGCCACATGGACCATAAGGTCTACCACCCTGTTGCTGTAGCCAAATTCATTGTGATACCAGGACATGAGCTTGACAAAGTGGACATTGAGGGCAATGCCAGCCTCAGCATCGAAGGTGGAGGAGTGGGTGTCACTGTTAAAGTCACAGGAGACAGCCTGGTCCTTGGTATAGCCCAGGATGCCCTTGAGGGGGCCCTCTGATGCCTGCCTCACTACCTTCTTGATGTCATCGCATTTGGCAGCTTTCTCCAGGTGGCAGGTCAGATCCATAGTCGACACATGGGGGGCAGGGACATGGACGGCCATGCCAGTGAGCTTCCCATTCAGCTCAGGGATGACCTTGCCCGCAGCCTTGGCAGCACCAGTAGAAGCAGGGAGGGTGTTCTGGGCAGCCCCTCGGTCATCACACCACAGCTTCCCAGAGGGGCCATCCACGGTCTTCTGGGTGGCAGTGATGGCGTGGACTGTGGTCATGAGTCCCTCCACAATGCCAAAGTTGTCATGGAGGCCTTTGGCCGGGGGGCCAAGCAGTTGGTGCAGGAGGCATTGCTGACAATCTTCATGGAGTTGTCACACTTGTCATGGTTCACACCCATCACAAACATGGGGGCATCTGCAGAAGGGGCAGAGATGAGGACCCTCTTCACTCCACCCTTCAAGTGAACCGAGCCTTTTCCATGGTAGTGAAGACACCAGTGGACTCTACCACATACTCAGCACCAGCATCACCCCATTTGATGGTGGGATCTCGCTCCTGGAAAGTGGAGATGGACTTTCTATTGATGACAAGTTTCCTGTTCTCAGCCTTGACAGTCTTTGAACTTTGAGTGGAATCGTACTGGAACACGTAGACCATGTAGTTGAGGTGAAAGGATCATTGACGGTGACAACGTCCACTTTGCCAGAGTAAAAAGAAGCCCTGGTGACCAGGCGCCCAATACGGCCAAATCCGTTCACTCCGACCTTCAGCATCGTGTCTCAGGGTTGCGGCTGGCACCGCGCAGGAAGACGCGGCTGTGTGTTGAACAGGAGGAGCAGAGAGCCCGAAAAATTTTCTTTATTTGGTTTCTTTCAAATAGCAGAGCTGTGTGGTTTATAGTGATTACAGAGGCTATACATTATGTTTTTTTAAAAAAAAAAC